TTTCTGTCTCTCTGTCTCTCTTTCTGGCGAGCACGCCCGCCCTATAGTAAAAACCTCTCAAAAAAAAAAAAAAAAAATGAAGAAGGAAGAGAGGGCCGTTCTGATGGTGGTAAAATGGGAAGTGGAGACTCCACCCCAGGGAGCTGTAACGGGACGGGACGACATGGCCAAGGCCTAGCCATCAGAGGCAGAGTGCCACAGCCACGGGGTGTGCATGGCAGACCGCGGCGGGCCCTCCGCACCCCCACCCCACCTCCTTCATGCAGACCTTTCAGGCTTTTGCTGGAACTGAGAGCGACCCACACCCGTTCCCTCATAGGGGGTGCTAGCTGCCTCTCTGCCTGACTCCATTCCTGCCTCACGGGACTCGGGGTTCAAGGACTGCTTGCACCCTCCCGGCCCAGAGTCTGTAGGTAAAAATCCTGGTCCTCGTGTCCTGTTGTGGGTGAGCATCGAACTTGCACCTTCTATTGGAAGAAGCAGGTTCTCCCTGGATCCCTGGATGAATGCGAGCTCAAGCTTCCGGCTCCTAGCGCCGGAGCCGTGGGCAGGCAGGTGTAAAATGGACACAGGTCTAGCCACTGGAACCGGCCACTCTACAGAGGCTTTGCTGGAGGTGGGACAGTCACCTTCCGGAATAACCACTCGCATGGGCCAGCAGGTGGTGTGGTGGTTAAGGTGCTAGACTTCCACGTGACTGACCACACTTCGAGTCCTGGATCTGGTGGCTTGCTTTCTCACTCTCCTCTCTCTCTGGTCAAATTAAAAAGTAATAATAAATAAAATAAAATAAGTGATTCTTTAAAAAAAAAAAACATAACAAATAAATGATTTTTAAAAAAATGACCACCCAGGGGACCAGCAGTTAGCGTAATGGCTATGTCGCTGGACTCCCATGTAGTCGACCATGGTTCGCGTCCTGGACCCGGTGGCTTAAAACTCATGCCGGGCGCGTGTGCGTGTGTGCTCAAGATCCCGAGAGGAGAATGGAGGAGAAGGGATTGCGGCGTGACCATCCCTCCTGGGGGGTTATTTCTCACTTTCTGTCTCTCTGTCTCTCTCTGTCTGGTGAGTGCACGTGCCCTATAGCAAAAACGTCTCCAAAAAAA